ACGGGTGGTCTCTGCTGCCTGAGACCCCAGTCTCATTTGCAACTTTGCGACTTCAAGTTTAAGTGGGTGCCGCATTTCTGTATGTCCTCCTGAGCAGAGAAGGAGCACTGCCCGGGGTGGCCTCTGACGTCAATGTCTTGAATCCCCTGGGAGCCACTGGGGAGGCCAAGCAGTCACCAGCTCCCACTTGTCCCTGAGCTGCCATTCTCAGCCCTGTGGAAGGAGACAGAAAGCCCTGAAGCTAAACCAAAGGACCAGGTCATGAGGGGCTGGAGGGTGGCATGAGCAATCAGGGCAGGGAAGGATGGACAGATGGGGGAATGGAGGGAGGAAGAAATGAATGAAAAGGTGAATGAATGAACAAAGAGAGAGAACAGCCTCCCTTGCTTTAGTGCTGTTCCCTTCAGTTTACAAAGCACTGGAACCCTTCCAATAGCCTGCAAGACAGAACTTCTGGGAAGCAGACCAGGTGGCTGGCAGGGAGGGGATGCTTGCCGTGGCTTTTGTGGGCCCAGTGGGAGGCTGGGGGCAGGAAGGGGCATCCTGTGTGTTCCCGCTCTGCAGCGGCAGCGGTGGAGGCCCTCCTTGGGCTGGGCTTCCTGGAAGAGGGTCGGGAAACACCCGCTGTCGCCCCTTTCTACCACGCTCTCATCCAGGGCACCAAGTATCAATCACTCAGCTCACGGGACCCAGGCCCTGAATCAGGGAGAGGGGATGTGAGGGGTGGGGCAATGGGTATCCCAGGACTGAGAGATCAGAGATGTGGCCCCGTGCCGGGAGTCAGGGCAGACGGGCTGTGGCAGCATTGTGTGGACCCCAGCAGTCCAGTACCCGCACAGGGAGCCTCTCAACCCCTTCACCTATGAGCTTGGGAGAAGACCGCAACCTTGGAGAACTGGAGGGACCTGCACCAGCCAGCAGGGTCAGGCGGGGCCAGACCGGTTCCCAAATGGGTTATGCAAATGGGCCTCCTGAACCCTGGAGCCGGGCATAGACTCACACACCACCATCATCGTCCCTAAATCCCCATCTGCTCCACAGGCACACCCTGCCACCTGTTCTGGGCAAGGAACCTGAGGCTGCCTCGTGCCCAAGCCCTGCAGGCGGTGAAGCCCAAACCCACATGGCTCTTGCTTCCTGGGCCGATGCACGTGCACGCGTGCGCGCGTACACACACACACACACACACACACACACACACACACGCCTTCTCCAGGAGGGGCTGGCTGCCAACAGCCACCCAGCTCCCTCCCACCTCTCACTCACCGTCCAATATCCGAGCAGACCTTGGAATCAGCAGCAACAGCAGCGTGGGCAAAGGCCTGGGGACCACAGGGGACCTGGTGGCCAGAGAGGACCACAGCCAACACTATGACAGCCAGCGCCAGCCCCAGCCCCAGAAGCGCCAGACCGACCGTAGTGCCGCAGCCCCGCGCCATGGCTCCGCAGCCCAGGAGGAGAGGGGAGGCCGGTGGGCAGACAGAGGGACAGATGGGTGGGCAGACGAAGGGACAAGAAGATGCACAGACAGACTCGCAGGTAATTGGACAGATGGACAAACAGGTGGGGCTGGAGACAGACACGAAGATGGACTGACAGACAGTCCAGATAGCTGGACAGAGAGAACAGTAAGAGAAAGATGGTCAGATGGAGACGGGCTTACAGATGGGGGACAGTTAGACAGATCTGAACTGCGGGCTGCCAGATGGACAGATGGGTGGACGGATAGACGGCTGGTGGCCGGCAGCTGTGGCGAGCTGCTGCCTTCCCCAAGTGCACACTATGAAGTAGCCAAACTCACGCCTCAACTTCCAGTTTTCAGTTCATGCTTGTTCCTGGCAGGAGGCCAGCCAGCAAAGCGTCAGAGGGGAGTTTTCCTTGCCTAGCGAAGCCAGCAGCTGTGTTAACTCCCCTACTGGTGGTAGGTCCCGACGCCCCGCCTGCTACCCGCCAGAGCCCAGGGCCACGTTGTCCCAATGTGCTTGAGAAGTGCCTGCTGCACTGCGGTTGCTAGGTGGGGGCAGGGCTCCCAAGAACCGCCACACCATTCCCTGGGTTCCCGGCAGCTCCCGGTAAAGCAGAGCTGGGACCGCTCAACTCTCTCCCCGCCAACCGGCCAGGCTTCCCTGGAGCCCTAACCCCAGCTCCCACCTCTATCCCTAACCCTCTCTGCATGGCCCAGCCCAGGCAGCGTCAAGGTGAAGCTGAACAGAGACAGAAGGAGAGGGACCCAAGGTAGTGTCACTCAGGACCTGGGTTCAAGTCCCTATGCTTCTGCAGCCTGGCCTGGGTCCCCCAGTTCCCCAGGGTGACCAAAGGCTTCCCAGTCTGCACTGAAAACAGGCAGACTTGAGAGCACCAGACGCTGATGACTACAAGATACTCATGTGGGGAATGCCCATGCTTGGCACTGGGACTATCCATGCCTGGGCCTTGCTGTCCTGGAAATGCAGCATGGGCCTCCAGGGAGGGACGCTGAGCCACCTGGGTGCCGTGCCACGCCCCGCCTGCAACTCTTCCCCACCCTGGCTGCGGGTCTGCTTTCCTGAATCCAAATCTGCTATTACCGTGTTCGCAGTGCCTCCTCTCTGGGGACACTGGCCTGGCCTTGTCCTCCCCAGGCCTCAGGGTGCTTATCTGGGAGGCAACCAGGGGAGTGAGGACCCACTGAGGGGCTCCATTGACCAGGCTCAGCCAGGGTACAGGTGATGTGGGCTGGACACCTTCCCATGCGGCCCCCCCAGTCCTCCCCACTTCCTTCCCAGCTGAGCACTGCCGGCTCCAGATGTCTACACCTGGAGTCAGAGCCCTCGACCTGGACAGCAGAGAAGCTGAGGCACAGAAACAGACTGTGTCCTTACAGGCCACATAGCCTGCCAGGCCCCTATGTCCAGCCAGAGCCCCTGGTCAGCCTGGGCTGGAGGGGTTGTTTAGAGGCAGGCTGTTCCCACGGCTGCCTCTCGCAGTAGGGGGTCTGTGGACGCCTCCTCCCACCCCCATCCAACTCGCAAGTCTCAGTGACATTGCTCAATCAGGAGCCAAAGCACATTCCTGGGCCCAGGCCAGGCCACCCACCCACCCGCTGCAGCCCTCGAAGCCCAGAGGCCAGGGCAGCAGGGACAGTGGCGACAGCAGCTTGGGGGATGCCCCCCCCCCTTCTCTCCCCACCATCCTGGTCAGGCAGAGGCCAGGGTGCAAGGACTGTTTGAGCAAAGGCCCAGGGAAAGGAATGGGTGTCATTCTGGTCCTGGCTAGAGGCACAGCGAGGGACATCCCTGAATGTCCTTACTCAGGAAATGATGGGGGCAGGGGCGATGAGACGGAAAGAGAGGATTTAAGTCCCCTAGCCCCCGAGGTAGTCCTGGGCTGCGCCCCATGAGACCTGGAGAACCGTGGTGTGCCCCACCAGTGTGTCGGGTCCTGGAAGCCTCATGGCCAGCTCTGACTTCTCCTGCTGCTACACAACCCAGAGCAAGGCCTGCCCCTCCAGCCTCAGTCTTCTCCCCTGCAAATGGGGCCACAGCCTTTCCTCTTAGGCTAAAATAAGGATTGAGACCGGGTGCAGTGGCTCACCCCTGTAATCCTAGCACTTTGGGAGGCTGAGATGGAAGGACTGCTTGAAGTCAGGAGTTTAAGACCAGCCTGGTCAATAGAGTAAGACCCCATCTCTATTCGTTTAAATAAAATTTTTTAAAAATTACATAGGCCGGGTGCAGTGGCTCACACCTGTAATCCCAGCACTTTAGGAAGCCAAGGCAAGCAAATCATTCGAGGTCAGGGGTTCAAGACCAGCCTGGCCAACATAGTGAAACCACGTCTCTCATAAAAATTTAAAAGAACTAGCCAGGCATGGTGGCAGGTATCTGTAATCTCAGCTACTCAGGAGGCTGAGGCAGGAGAATTGCTTGCACCCAGGAGGCGGAGGTTGCAATGAGCTAAGATCATGCCACTGCGCCCCAGCCTGGGCGACTGAGACTTCATCTCAAAAAAAAAAATTAAGTAAATAAGGATTGAGGAGTCACTTGTACACCAGTTAAGCCCAGTCCCCTCTCACCCCTGGGGAGTCCCAGAGGCAGAACCCTCCAGGACTCAGACTCAGTGGAACTCTGCTCGGCAGGCACAAAACACTGTTTGCCCATGGGCCCTTTGCAATCACCAGGTTTTCCGGCTCCTTAAAGAGAGCCATGACGTGGTCCCTGGCCCCAGGGCCCCTGGCGATATCCAGGTGCTGGGCTGTGACCACTACCCCTCACCAGCCCACCTCCACCAGCCTTGCCCAGAACCCCACCCCCGTGTTGGAAAACTTGTGTGCAGAGGACAAGGGAGCAGGCCCCAAGGGAGGACTGGCGGGGCTGCCGACGGTGAAGGCCACTGTGTCCAGCTGTTCCCTTCCAGACCCACTCCATCCGGGCTGTGTCCCCAGCTGGGCCAAGCCCTGATCCCTGGGATCTGGGGACCTCTTCCAGTTTGCTGTTCCCTGAGAACCAGGCCTCCCTCTGGAGAGGATCACAAGCTTGGGTTTCATTCTGGGCTTGTACTTGGAAAGCCCCCCCCAAGGTCTTGGCTCCGACTGGATGTTTTTCTCCAGGCTCTTGCCCAATCCCCACTCCTCAGACCTCAGCTTCACCTCCCTGTGTCCTCGGCAGGGTGAGCTGGACGCCCGCGGGTCTGAGAAGGCGTCCAGGGTTCCCGGCGTCAGCTGGCCACCCTCTGCCTAAGTCAGCGCTAGGCTCGTGGTGCCCTCTGGTGGCTGGTCCTAGGTAGTGTCGCTGCCCAGCCCCAGGAAGGGAGGGCCTGTCCCCAAGTCTTAGGGCTCAGGGTTGGGAGGGGCAGGGCTTGGCGCAGACCTGCCCCTGGCCCCCAGCCACGCGCTTGGCTCTCCCCATGCTGAAGATGCTGAAGCTCGTTCTAGCGCCCGCAGTGTGAAGATCTCCGAATCCCACCTCTCCCTTCCTCCCCAGCCAGATGGCTCCATTTTACATACAGGACAGAGGCCGGGAGAGTGGGGAGCCAGGCCAGGGAGGCTGCCTGAAGCCTGGTACAGCAGCCTCATTTATTGTGTTGCTGTGCTGCTCACAGGGAGGCACATCCTCCAAAGTCCCCTTCCTGGCCCTGGTGAGTATCTTGTCCCTGGATTGCTGGTCGGCCGTGTCCGCCCCAAGCACTCAGTAGCCAGCAGGCTCCCCGCCTTTCCTGGAGTCTGAGGCAGCTGCCCAGCCACCAGCCGTGTGAACAATGGCCTGCACCACAGCTATGAAGGAGGACGCGATCTTGGTGTGATGGTGCCGGGCCTCCAGGGCTGCAGTCACTGCCTGGCGGGGGGAGGAGAGGGGAGGCCTGAGCAGTGCTCCAGATGCCACCTGAACCATGCCTGTGGTCACAGGCCTCGGCCCAGGTGGTGCTATCTGGGGCCAGGAGATCAGGAAGAGTAGGTTGGGGCCTATTGGGTCTCGTTGAAGCAGGCGGCTTGGCCCTCACGGCACAGGAGCTCCAGATGGCCCAGGTACCAGACGGAGGACACCAATCATTGTCCGCTCTGTGATGATCCAGGCCTCCAGCCCAGGATGCCCTGTGGCCCCACACCGTGACTCAGTTTCCCCAACCCCCGGCCCACCTGGTCAATGTTTCTCTCCACTGTGGTGACGTTGGGCAGAAGCTGGTTGTGCAGCCGGGGCTCCTCCACGGCCCGCTTCACGTCATAGCCGAACCAGAGGTGGTAGATGATGGCCTGGGCATGGGGGGGTGTGATCAGCATGGCCTGCGCGCTGGGCGGGGTTGGGTGGGGTGGGCAGGGCCAGGGAGGGAAGGGGTGACACATACCAGTGCCGTGGCCGTGGTGATGTGTGTCCCCCCGGAAGCTCCCACCACCATCCGGACCTGGCCGTCCTTGCCCACCATGATCGTCGGGCACATGGATGAGAGTGGTTGCTTCCCTGCGGCCAACGGGAGAAGACAGGGATGCCGGTCAGCTGCCTGCCCAGACAGCCGTCCCTCTCCACCCCAATCCCCCACCCCCGGACCTCCACCCCATACCTGGATAAATGAAATTTGTGGGCGAGGGGGGCACCCCAAACTCGTTGGTGATGTTGGGAGAGCTGAAGTCGTCCATTTCGTCATTGAACAGAATGCCGCTGACCGGGGACCGGACCTTGGAGCCAAAGCTACAGCCCAGCCAGGTCAGACAGTGCCCGGCCTCGCTCGGCCCAGCCTGGTCCCATCCACCCACTGAGGCTCAAACATACTCCCTGTGAGGCCCAGAGCAAGCTACCAAGGCAGGGCCTCAGTTTCCCGTCAGGATAAAAGGTGATGGAGCCACCTTCTGGATAAGCAGGCAGTCTCTGGGCCACCTGCCCCTTGACCTGCCCCACCCCGGCGGCCCAGCAGTCCCTACTAGAGGTTGATGGTGCTGGTGGCCGACACAGCGCTGCCGTCCTCTGCGATGACAGACAGATGGGCAGTGCCCCCATCATCCGGTGTGTAGAACTCAGGCTCATAGTAGGAGGTCGGGTGGGTGGTGTCGTCAGAGATCTGAGCCCGGAGCTGGGCGGCGAAGAACTCGGAGGTCATGTTGTGGATCACCTGCCGAGACCCCAGAGCTGGCCTGAGGAGGTGGGGAGGGAGGGTGCGGGGGGGCACAGGGTTGTGCAAGCAGGTCTCAGAAGGCCCCCAGCTGTGGCTCTGACCACAACCCTCCGGCACCCATAGGCTTCCGTGGCTTCCCAGGGCCCAAGGGCAGGCCCAGCCACCTTGCATGACCCGTCTGACTCCCTGTCTCCAGCCCCTGTGTCTGTAGAGTTCCAGCAACCGTGAATGTCTGTCCGCCCGGCCCTCAGCCTTGAGACCTTTAGTGCATTCAATCAGTCGTTCACTCACGCAGATGTTTCTAGAGCTTGCATTGCATGCCTCGCACTGAGGAATCAACAGGGAACAGACACTTAGGTCCCCGCCCTCATGCCAGAAAAAACAAATGCACCTGGGGAAAGTGCTGAAACCACAAGCCAGGTAAGGGAAATGGAGAGGCACAGGTATAGACAGAGTGGTCAGGGAGGGCTTCTCGGAGGAGGCAACATCTGAGAAGAGCCTGGAATGCGGCTTAAATGGTCACTGCAAGGTAAGGGGAATGCAAAGGCATGAGGTATGGACAGAGTGGTCAGGGAGGGCTTCACGGAGGAGGCAATGTCTGAAAAGAGCCTGGAATGCAGCCTCAGTAGTCAGCACAAAGGCCCTGAGGCAGGTGGTACAGGCTGGTGAGCGATAGGCACAGTGTGAATGGGGTGAAGGGGAGAAGAGGAGGCAGATGCAGGCTGGGCCCATCCCACAGGACCTCCTGGGTCCCATAAGGCCTTTGGGTTTGCTCTGGGCCACACAGGCTTAGGGCAGAGGGTGAGCAGGCTGGGGAATGTTTTCACAGGGTCCCTCTGGTGGCTGTGAGGGGGTAAGGATAAAGTTCAAAGGCTGCGGGTGTCAACCAGGTGAGAGATGATGGCTTGCCCTGGGTAGGACAAAGAGAAGAATCATGGACGGCCCCGACTAGGGAGGTAAACCCTGCAGAAGGGGCAGGTGCGGGGACGGTCAGGAGCTTGATTTTGGATACTTCATCAGACCTGAAAAGCATGGCCTACGTGTGTGGAGTTCATGGGCAAGGGCGGGCTGAGAGATGAACACGGAGGTATTGACATTGAGTGGCTGCAGAACGCCACGAGCCTGGCGGGGTCCCCAAGGCAGTGGTGAGGGCTGACCAAGAGGAGAGGAGGAGGGGAGGGGCAGACAGACAGGGTGGGCCCAGAAGGCCAAAGAGAGTCCCTCAAGGGAGTTTCAGCAACGGCCCACAGACTAGCTGGCCAACGACAGGGGAAGACGCTCTGTCTGAATCTGCTCCCAAGGAAACAGAAAGGCAAGTCCAGGACGTGAGACATTTTCCAAGACGACTGCCTCGGCTTTAAAAATCAACAAAACAGGCTGAGCAGGCCGAGCACAGTGGCTCATGCCTGTAATCCCAGCACTTTGGGAGGCCGAGGCGGGAGGATCACCTGAGATTGGGAATTTGAGACCAGTCTGACCAACATGGAGAAACCCCGTCTCTACTAAAAATACAAAATTAGCCAGGTATGGTGGCTCAGGCCTGTAGTCCCAGCTACTCGGGAGGTTGAAGCAGAAGAATCGCAGATTGCAGTGAGCCAAGATCGCGCATTGTACTCCAGCCTGGGCAACAAGAGTGGAACTCCATCTCAAAAAAACAAAAACAAAAAAAAAAAAAAAACAGCCTGAGTGCAGTGGTTCACACTTGTAATCCCAGCACTTTGGGAGGCTGAGGTGGGATTTGAGCCCAGGAGTTTGAGACCAGCCTGAGTAACATGGCAAGACCCTGACTCTAAAAAAAAATACAAAAATTAGCCAGGTGTGGGGGCATGTGCCTGTGGTCCCAGCTGCTTGGGGGGCTGAAGTGGGAGGATTTCTTCAGCCCTGGAGGTTGAGGCTGCAGCTGAGATCACACCACTGCACTCCAACCTAGATGACAGAGACTGTCTCCAAACAAACAAAACAGCCAAGGACGCCTACTGTAGGTAAACAGAAGGGACACAGGTGCGTCACCCGGATATCCTGCTGTGGTATGCTCAAGTCCTCACTCCTGGGAGACACACCCGGAAGTGTGACATCAGCAACCTTTCTAATCACTCGGAGAAAACATGAATACCAACAGATGTGGGTGGAGACAGAGACAGTTAGGAAATCTGGCAGAAATGTCCATCCTGCACACTCCAGAGAAAGGGAACGCTGACGCTTGGGTGGTTTTGTTTGTTTGTTTTACATTTTCGTAGGTGTGAAAATTTGCAAAATGAAAACTTGAGGAGAGTGTGGTGAGCTATGTGAGATGCTGCTGATGGGGAAACTGAGGCTGGGCATGGCGATCTGGTGGCATGGGAATACAGCAGGAGGCGTTAGCCTGAAGGGAGAGAGGACATAGCCCGGCCATGTTTGCCCTAAGAGGAGCAGAGAACAGGAGGAGGCAGGAGATGGAAGCTTCTGGAGCAACAACAGCCGCCTTTCTTTCAGGAATGATCCATTATAAAGGGGTAAATGCCAGACGTGGTGGCTCACGCCTGTAATCCCAGCACTTTGGGAGGCCGAGGCAGGTGGATCACCTGAGATCAGGAGTTCGAGTCCAGGCTGACCAACATGGTGAAACCCCCTCTCTACTAAAAATATAAAAAATTAGCTGGACGTGGTGGCATGCACCTGTAGTCCCAGCTACTTGGAAGGCTGAGGCAGGAGAATTGCTCAAACATGGGAGGCGGAGGTTGCAGTGAGCTGAGATCATGCCACTACACTCCAGCCTGGGCGACAGAGTGAGACTCTGTCTCAAAAAAATAAGAAAAAAAAATTATGAAGGGGAAAATAGAGGAACACTGGAACAGCGCACTGAACCAGTGAGTGGATAAAAGAGCTGACTTTAGCCAAAAGGGAGGGCAGAGGGACACGCTGTAGTGGCCCTGTCCCCTCAGAGAGACAAGACACCAGGTCACTGGCTGCAGGGGAGTCAGAGGTGCAGAATGCTCACGGGGAAAGAGAAGACACCTCCCGGGCAGCTGAGGTCCCTCCTGGGAGGTCACAGGTCAGTGGGGGGGGGCGTCTGCAGGTCTGCCCGGGAATGCCAAGGACCCAAGTAAGTAAGGAGGGGTGTGAGGATCCTCAGTGGGAAGGGATGTGGCAGGGGTCTCATAGGGACCCAGCATGGAGCTGGGGCACCTAGTGAATACGTGGGTCAGGCGGTACAGGATTAAGGGTGGCATCTGGGAAGCATTAGTCGAGTGACAGGGAGTGGTTGGCCAAGGTCCCTGTCCACCTGGCCCTCTCCCTCTCACCCATCCTTCTCTTATTTTATTTATTTATTTATTTATTTGTTTGTTTGTTTGTTTGTTTGTTTTTTTGAGACGGAGTTTTGCTGTTGTTACCCAGGCTGGAGTGCAATGGCGCGATCTCGGCTCACCGCAACCTCCGCCTCCTGGGTTCAGGCAATTCTCCTGCCTCAGCCTCCTGAGTAGCTGGGATTACAGGCACGCGCTACCATGCCCAGCTGATTTTTTGTATTTTTAGTAGAGACGGGGTTTCACCATGTTGACCAGGATGGTCTCGATCTCTTGACCTCGTGATCCACCCGCCTCGGCCTCCCAAAGTGCTGGGATTACAGGCGTGAGCCACCGCGCCCGGCTTATTTATTTATTTTTGAGACAGAGTCTCACTCTATCACCCAGGCTGGAGTGCAGTGGTGTGATCTTGGCTGACTGCAACCTCCGCCTCCTAGGTTCAAGCAATTCTCTGCCTCCGCCTCCCGAGTAGCTGGGATTACAGGTGCGCGCCACCACATCCAGCTAATTTTTGTATTTTTAGTAGAGACGGGGTTTCACCATCTTGGCCAGGCTGGTCTTGAACTCCTGACCTCATGATCCACCCACCTCAGCCTCCCAAAGTGCTGGCATTACAGGCGTGAGCCACCGCACCTGGCTTCACCCAGCCTTCTCATCATGCAGTGCCCCCATATGTTCCTCACTTCATCACTGACCACTCAAGACCCACAGCATGGGCAAAGGCCCTGGGGTAGGAATGTAGCCACTAACTACCCAAACTGTGAGTTCTGTGGGGCAGAGGCCAAGACTAGGGGTCACCCACCAATCCATCCTAGCACACAGTAGGCCTGCAATCAAAGTTTGTGGCAGGAATGGATTCACAAAGCATATGTGAGGCTGCAGCAGCCCTGGGAAGCCCAGCTGGTGCCTCTGCAGCAGGCCCCGCCCCTTACCTTAGTTATATTCACAAACTTGGGGTCCCCAAGCAGCGTCCTCTTGGCGTAGGCAAACCGGAAAGCCTCTACAATGCGGTGGTACGTCAGGCCCTTCTGCTCAGGGGTCTCCACGCTCGCCTGGGAGAAGTTGTACCCTGGTTGATGAGAGCCAGGGGCATGTTGGTGATCCCCAGGGGCTCAGAGGGGCTCAGATGGTTAACAGCTCCCTCAGCCATTTTGCCCACCTCAAGGAGCATTTTTTTTTTTTTTTTGAGACGGAGTCTCACTCTGTTGCCCAGGCTGGGGTGCAGTGGTGCGATCTTGGCTCACTGCAACCTCCGCATCCCGGGTTCAAGTGATTCTCCTACTTCAGCCTCCCAAGTAGCTGGAACTCCAGGCACCTGCCAGCACCCCCAGCTAATTTTTGTATTTTTAGTAGAGACAGGGTTTCACCATATTGGCCAGGCTGGTCTCGAACTCCTGACCTCATGATCCACCTGCCTCTGCCTCCGAGAGTGCTAGGATTACAGGCGTGAGTCACCGCACCTGGCTTCAAGGGGCATTTAATAACCAATCCAGCAGCTGCTTCAGAAGGCTGTGGTGGGAGTGAGGGATTCCCGTGCCTGGACCTCAGGTCACACATCAGTTCTGGCCACGCAGTGACCAAGTGGCGGGGACACCCACTGGATCGGGGTGCCCTCTGGACCAGGCCCTGCAGCCCTGAGCTCCTGCACCTCCCTCCCTCCTGATGACTCCTGTTCCTCCAGCCCTTGAGCATTGCCTTCTTCATCCCTGGTCACTCTGCAATGCCTCCTGCAGGACGTGGCAAGCTGTGACGCAGGGCACTCCTCAGGGGCTCAGTGATGGAAAGACGTGGTATGGGGGGACCCAGTCATCAGGGATGCAGCAGGGGTGGGGCTGGGGAGACACAGGCTGTGTCACGGGCCGCACCGCAGAGCCGTGGTGGGACCACTCACCTTTGAGGATGTTGAGGATGAGGGCCAACACAGGCCCGCTGAGTGGTGCGCTGGGCATGTAGAGCACTGCGTCTCCCAGGCTAATATTCAGCGGGTGCTCGATCAGCTCAGCACGGTAGTTGTTCAGGTCCTCGGCTGTCATGATGCCCCCTGCAATGCGACAGCAGCTCGGCATGGGCGCGGGAATGGGGCTGCACCATCGCATGAGGGATGGGGCCGCAGCAGTGGCGTTGAGGGCAGGCAGGGCTATACCATGTGGTGGGGACAAGCCTGCACCCTCCTGGGGAGGACAGGGTGCACGACTGGAGGGGCGGGACTGTGCCCTGGGAGGGACCACAGGCAACCTCACCCCCTGGGGGTCCTCACCCGCTCCTGAGCTTGTCTCCCTGACACTGCTCACCCCACAGCTGGGCCCGGGGCCATCTGCCCTCCGCTTGCTTGGCTCACTGGCTTCCGGGCTGCCTTCTCTCCTCTGTGGCCAGAGAGTTTTGTTTTTTTTTTTCTTTTTAGAGATAGGATCTTGCTGTGTCACCCAGGTTGGAGTGCAGTGGCTTAATCATAGCTTTCAACTCCTGGGCTCCAGTGATCCTCCAGCAGGTCCTCCCCAGTCGCTGAGACTACAGGCGGCGCCAACACACTCAGCAAATTCTAACTCTTCTGGAGGGTCTTGCTGTATTTCTTTTCACTATGCTTTGAAGTTACACTCTATGGTTCCCCACCCCACTCCCACTATATGTATGAGACTCCAGTCTCAATATTTTTTTGTAGTTTCACTGTGTTGTGCAGGCTTGTCTTGGACTTCTGAGGGCCTTTTCTCCATTTTTTTTTTTTTTTTTTCCAGATGGAGTCTCCCTCTGTCGCCCAGACTGGGGTGCAGTGGTGTGATCCAAGCTCACTGCAGCCTCTGCCTCCTGGGTTAAAGCGATTCTCCTGCCTCAGCCTCTTGGTTAGCTGGGACTACAGGAACAAGCCATCATGCCCAGCTAATTTCGGATTTTTTTCTTTTTTTTTTTTGAGACAGAGTCTTGCTCTGTCGCCAAGGCTGGAGTGCAGTGGCACGATCTCGCCTCATTGAAACCTCTGCCTCCCGGGTTCAGGCAATTCTCCTGCCTCAGCCTCCAGAATAGCTGGGACTACAGGTGCGCACGCCACCATGCCAGGCTAATTTTGTATTTTCAGTAGAGATGGGGGTTCACCATGTTGGCCAGGCTGGTCTTGAACTCCTGACCTCAGATGATTCACCTGCCTTGGCCTCCCAAAGTGTTGGGATTACAGGAGTGAGCCACCACGCCCGGCTCACAGGATCTCTAAGGGGAGAATTCCTCCTCCAGTCTCCCTGCCGCTTAGCCTCTTCTCATGATGAATGGATAGAGGGAGGGAGGGAGGCTCTTAATTCTCCCAGAGTCAGCTCCAGACAGGCGGGGTATTGGCATGCCAGTTTCCAGCCTCAGTGGTACAGGTCAACACGCTAATCACCCTCCTCCATGAAACAGTGACAAGAATTACCTGAAGAAAGCCACAGCCAAGCTCCAGGCCCCTGCCCTACAAAGCCCCTTCCCCACACCTCTCGAAAGGTGACCCTCATCCCTTGGGACCCTCCTGGTGAATCAAAGTCCCCTCTCTCTGGGCCTTAGCCCAGCTGTTCCTCTGCTAGGAATCCCTTCCTCTCTCTGCCTAATGAAGTTATCTGCAGCCCAGCCACCTCCTCCTCCAAGAAGCCCTCCTGGATCTTCAGGTTGTATTCTAGTGCTTCCCTAGCCCTGGTTCTTGCCTACACCTGCATTTACCCCACCAGGGACTTGCTCTCCTGGACTGCATGGCCTCTTTTGGCTTTGACATACCAGGAACTATAGATTCACATGGCCAGCCACTGACCAGGAATTCCTGCAGGCTCAGGGAGGGCGGGAGGACCGCAGGGCTCCGGGCCCCAGCTGAGGGTTTCCAATGCAGGGTTCCTCACCCAGGCCCCTGAGGTTACCCACTCACCGGCCGCCTGGATGTCCTTCACAATCTGGGCTGTGAGGCTGCCGTTGTAGAAGGCCTGGGCGCCCTCGGTGGCCAGCATCTCGTAGGTGTCAGCCAGCTGCGGCAGGGTCAGCCTCTCCCCCTCCTGAAGCACCTTTCCATCCCGGCAGAACACCTCACTGGGGCAGGGGCGCTCACGTGAGGCAGAAGGTGGGGTGGCCTCAGTTAGACTGCCCACCGACCCGCCCGCACAGAGGAACGGAACAGAGCTGGGGCAGTGCCCGTCACAGGTGGGTGGCTCCGTCACTCAGCACTCGTCCTCCCAGCCTCCTAGTGTCCCCTGCCACTCAGGATACATGGCTGGCCACAGCGGCCACTAGGACCCCACCCTCAGAATGTGTCCCCACACATGGTGGGAAGTGTCTGCATCTCCTCATCCCATTACCAGCGCAGGGTTCCAAAGGCAGAGGGCCGCTCCACTGCCGCTCGGGGACCGCAGGGTCCTTGGGCTTGGGGGCCCTGCCTGTGTCGGGGGCCGCACCCACAGACATACCACAAGACAGGCTGCTGCTCGATGACGGCCCGCTTGTTTTCCAGAGCTGCTGCCAAGCCCTTGCCCACAGGGAAGCCCTGGCGGGCCAGCTGGATGCTGGGCTGGAAGAGACGAGCCCAGGGCAGCCGCCCGTGCCGCTGGTGCGCCAGCTCGTAGCCTCGGATCTCTCCGGGCACAGCCACCGACAGCCCCCCTGGGGAGAGACAGCCACAGTCAGCAGCCCTGAATGACGGACATGGGAACCTCTCGCAGGCGGCATCCCAGGCACATTCCCTGACTCGTTTTACAGTTGGGGCAATGAGGTTTAGGAGAAAAGATTTTTTTTTTCTTTTTTGAGATGGGGTCTTGCCATCTTGCCCAGCCTGGTCTCGAACTCCTGAACTCAAGTAATCCTCCCACCTCAGCCCCCTGAGTAGCTGAGATTACAGGCATAAACCAGCATGTCCAGCAGAAGGGGATTTTTTTTTTCTTTTTTTGAGACGGAATCTCACTCTGTCACCAGGCTGGAGTGCAGTGGTGCGATCTTCGCTCACCGCAACCTCCGCCTCCCGGGTTCAAACGATTTTCCTGCTTCAGCCTTCCAAGTAGCTGAGACTATAGGTACGAGCCACCACACCTGGCTAATTTTTGGATTTTTAGCAGAGACGGGGTTTTCACCATGTTGGCCCAGATGGTCTTGATCTCTTGGCCCAGAAGAGGATTTTTAAGGTCATGTCTGGGCTCAGCAGGCAGGAGTGCGCCTGGACCAGGGATGTCTGATGAGGCCGCAGGAGGGGAGGCACAGCACGCAGCTGGGCTTTGCTGTCCCAGGATTAGGTGTCTGTCTGTGCAGGCGCCTGCATGTCTGAAGTCCTGTGCCAGGCCAGATCCCCTCCCATCTCACCGACCACAAGGCCTTATCCTGTAAGACTCATGGGCTCTACCAGAATGTGCCAAAGAAAGAGCAGGTCCCGCCCTGTCCCAGTTCAAGCACAGGCCACCCTCCAGACCCAGCCAGCCCCAAGAAAGGGCACCCTTCCACTTTTCTACTGGCCCAGAAGCAAGACCTGAGCCTTAATCTCTGTTCTGTCCCCTCTCCCAGCCTCAGTTTCTCCATCTAACTGTAAGGGTTTTTGTTTGGCTGGTTTTTTGAGATGGTGTCTCGCTCTGTCACCAGGCTGGAATGCAGTGGCACAATCTTGGCTCACTGCAACCTCCACCTCCCGGGTTCAAGTCATTCTCCTGCCTCAGCCTCCTGAATAGCTGGGATTACAGGTGTCCGCCACCATACCCAGCTAATTTTTGCATTTTTAGTAGAGACTGGGTTTAACCATGTTGGCCAGGATGGTCTCAATCTTCTGACCTGTGATCCGCCCGCCTCGGCCTCCCAAAGTGCTGGGATTACAGGCGTGAGCCACCACACCCGGCCTGTTTGTTTGTTTTGAGACAGGGTCTCACTCTGTTGCCCCAACAATCAAGGCTCACTGCAGCCTTGGCTTCCCAGGCTCAAGCGATCTTCCCACCTCAGCCTCTGAAGTACCTGAGATACAGACACACCCCACCACACATGGCTAATCTTTTTTTTTAATTTTTTCTTTTTTTTTGAGGTAGAGTTTTACTCTTGTTGCCCAGGCTGGAGTACAGTGGCGCGCTCTCAGCTCACTTTGACATCTACCTCCCGGGTTCAAGCGATTCTCCTGCCTCAGCCTCCCAAGTAGCTGGAATTACAAGCATGTGCCACCACACCCAGCTAATTTTTGTATTTTTAGTAGATTTTTGTATTTTAAGTAGATTTTTGTATTCTTGTATTTTCAGTTTCACCAGGCTGGTCAGGCTGGTCTCGAACTCCTAACCTTAGGTGATCCGCCCTCCTCGACCTCCCAAAGTGCTAGGATTACAGGCATAAGCCACTGCGCCTGGCCTAATCTAAAAAAAATTTTGCAGAGACATGGGTATCTCTTTGTTGCCAGGCTGGTCTCAAACTCCTGGCCTCAAGCGATCCTCCCACCTCAGCCTCCCAAAGTGCTAGGATTATAGATATATCCAGCGTCTAAGGGGTTTTGCCTTCCAGTTCTGATTTTCGAGGAGGTAACTGGAAACAGACCCCTAGGCCTGCTGAGCCCCGAGCCCCACAGCCCATATGGACACTACAGACACTGACCCTTTGCCCAGAAAGGTACAATTATGGCCTCTGCCCCCAGGTATTCTCCTGCTCTCGCCAGAGATGACGGGGGTCATTTGGCTGCTCCCAGGCGTGGTGGCTACTGCACTACAACTACCTCTCCCACCCCGAGGCCTGGCACGTTTCCAAGAGCCGGTGCTTTCAATTCCTTGAAGCTGCACATACATCCTGGAAGGTCTGACACCCAGCACACGGTTCCTTCCACCTTACAGTTAGACAGGGGAAGTTCTAATGTTTGCTAACAGACCAGGAGATGATACTTAGCAACAGTATTTTACAGATTACAAAGTAACTGGAAGAGAGGACTATGATGCTAACACGCAGAAATAATAAATACTCAAGATGATGGAGACCCCAAGTACCCTGCCTTGATCATTGTACACTCCATGCATGTAACAAACACTCACATATACCCATAAATATGTGAAATATTGTATCAATATCAGAAAAACAATCTTCTCCTGACCTCAGACCACTCAGGCTCTCATGCCACCACACTTGCCAAGCTCTCCGGCGACCCCCACACTGCCAGACCCAGTGCCTCCTCTCAGCTTTACTGGGCTCATCACTCCCCTGCAAGCCAGCCCTGCATCCCAGCACCTGGCTCCGCGCAAGTCTCCCCGCCTGCCATCCTAGCTCCTGCTCTCTCCTGGGTCTTTGCTCTCTCTCCTGCTGGTCTGCCTGACATCTGAGCTTCAGCCTCCATTTATGCACTGACAACTCCCGAATTTACCTGCTGGCCTGACTGCTCCTCTGATTGCCAGACCCAAGTACCTACCTGCCTGCTCAAAAAAAGCATTTAAGGCCAGGCACAGTGGCTCACGCTTGTAATCCCAGCACTTTGAGAGGCTGAGGTGGGTGGATCACCTGAGGTCGGGAGTTCAAGACCAGCCTGACCAACAAGGAGAAATCCTGTCTCTACTAAAAAGACAAAATTAGCCAGGCATGGTGGCTCATGCCTGCAATCCCAGCTACTCAGGAGGCTGAGGCAGGAGAATCGCTTGAATCCAGGAGGTGGAGGTTGTGGCGAGCCGAGATTGCGCCACTGCACTTCAGCCCGGGCAACAAGAGCAAAACCATCTCAAGAAAGAAAAGAAAAAAAAAGAAAAAAGAAAGGAAAGGAAAGGAAAGGGAAAAGAAAGGGACATCTCAAACATAAATGTGTCCAAAACCGAGCTCCTGAGTGTCCACTCAGACCTGCTTCCTGAGAGCCCTGCCTGTCTCCATTAGGGTCACCCCAACATTCCATGCATAGACAAAAGATCTGGGGTCCTCTGGGACTCCCTACACAAGCATCGCACCCAACCTGTCCTCAAATCCACAGGCTCCACTTCCAAGTGTGTCCGTCCAGCATCGGCCACTTCCCACCATCCTCTCCACGCATTACTGCAGTGACCTCCGGACAGGTCCCAGCAGGCTCTCTGCCCCTTACACAGCAAGCCCAGGGGTCCATAGGCCAGATCCATCCCCCTCCACTCACATACTCCACAGGCCCCCATTTCCCTCAGACGAGCGGCAGCGGTTTCACCAAGACCTAAGACATCCCACACAGCCTGGGCGGTTACTCTCAGGTCGCTTGCTGCAGCCTCCCTAGCTCCCCACAGGGCTCTGTCCCTGCCCATCACATCTGGATCACTAGGTCTTCCCCCAGACGCCGTACAGCTCCCCTGACCCCATCTCTGCCTCTGGGTCTTTGCTCAGATGTCCCCTTCCCTGACTAGGTCACCCTTCATAGATTCCCACATCTTGAGGCACTCCAGATCTGTTTTGTTTTGTTTCGTTTTTGAGGTGGAGTCTTGCTTTGTCTCCTAGGCTGGAGTGCAGTGGGGTGATCTCGGTTCACTCACTGCAACTCCACCTCCCGGGTTCAAGCAATTTTCCTGCCTCAGCCTCTCAAGTAGTTGGGATTACAGGTGCATACCACCATGCCCAGCTAATTTTTGTATTTTTAGTTGAGACAGGGTTTCACTATGTTGGTCAGGCTGGTCATGAACTCCTGACTGCAAGTGATCCACCCGCCTCAGCCTCCCAATTTGCTGGGATTACAGACGTGAACCACCGAGCCAGCCATTTTTTTTTTTTTTTTTTTTTTTAAGACAGGGTCTCCCTTTGTTGCCCAAGCTACAGTGTAGTGATACAATCATGGCTCACTGCAGCCTCAACCTCCCGGGCTCAAGTGATCCTCTCACCTCAGTCTCCCGAGTAGCTAGGACCACAGGCACACACCACCATGCCTGGCTAATTTTTTTTCCATTTTTTTATAGAGACGGATTCTTGCTATGTTGCCCAGGCCGGTCTCAAACTCCTGGGCTCATGGGATCCTCCTGACTTGGCCTCCCAAAGTGCCAGGATTACAGGAGTGAGCTATTGAGCCCACCCATCCTCCAACTTTTATCCCACAATCCATTCTGCCTCCTTTGAGCTGTGCCCCTGGGTGGACAGTGGCTTCCCCTCAGGTACCTGGGGAATGTGGGGGCCTCCTCTCCACTAAGACCAGATTAGAAAAGAGAGACTCTGGCTGGGCGTGGTGGCTCACACCTGTAATCCCAGCACTTTGGGAGGCTGAGGCAGGGTGGATCATGAGGTCAAGAGATTGACACCATCCTGGCCAACATGGTGAAACCCCGTTTCTACTAAAAATATGAAAATTAGCCAGATGTGGTGGTGTACACCTATAGTCCCAGCTACTCAGGAGGCTGAGGCAGGAGAATCGCTTGAACCTGAGAAGCAGAGGTTGCCGTGAGCCAAGATCATGTCACTACACTCCAGCCTAGCAACAGAGCAAGACTCTGTCTCAAAAAAAAAAAAAAAGAGAGAGAGATTCCACCTCACACCTCATGCTCTAGAGTGCTATCCCCACCAATGAACAAATGAATGAACTGAATAGGATGCCCGTTAAAAGGGCAGGGTATAGAGAGCCTGGGTTCAATTTTAGCTTCACCACCTACCAGCTGTGTGACCTCAGCTGATTTGCATGGCCTCTCTGGGCCTCAGCATCCCCATCTGTAAAATGGGAATCCACACAGCATCCCCCACCCCAAAGGAGCAGGGAAGGGTATGAGATGCTCATGGGTGAAAAGCACAGAGCAGAGTGCGGGCCCCAGTGAGCCCTGGTCCATGAGGGCTGTTAGCGTAATAATTATTCTCTCCGTGTGCAGCACAGGGTGACCCCAGAGGCCTTGGGAGAAATAACAGACGCTCCCAGTCCTTTACTCTGGTGATGCTGGTCCTGACAACTCATTGCGGGAGGGTGCTATGTGGCCAGGAAGGGATGAGGGGTGCTAGAACTGCCCTTGGACCCTGACAAGGCCAGGCTCCAGTGGGCAAGGCCCCTTCCCCGTGGCTCAGCCGGCTCTGCACCCACGCCCCAAGCCTGCAGGCGGCTTACCCTCCTGGGACTGTTTCGAGCTGTTGAACATGGTAGGAAAGGCCAGCCTGGGGGCCACCTCGCGGGCATTGATGACTTCAGCTTTTCCTAGAAGGAGAAGCAGGTAGGCAGGCAGAGTCACCCAAACCCTTCATGCCACGTGAGCCCGGGGGTCCCCCCAGCTGTGCCTCCGCCCAACCCACACCCCCGACCCCTCTCCCTCGCCCCTCCCGGAAGTACTCACGAGTGCTGCTGTTGTAGATGGTGAGGAACAGGCCGCCCCCAATGCCCATGCTGTGGGCGTTCATGAGCCCCAAGCACAACAGGGCAGCAATGGCTGCATCCACCGCAGAGCCACCGTCCCGCAGTGCATCCCTGCCATGTGGTACATGAAGGGGTGAGAACCTGCAGGCTTCCATCCTGGCCCTGCTTACACACCCTGCTGCCCATCTCCCCAAAGGAGGATGGAAGAGAAGTCCATTTGAGTTTTCAGGTTTCTGGTTTTCTTTTTGAGTCGGAGTTTTGCTCTTGTTGCCCAGGCTGGAGTGCAATGGCATGATCTCAGCTCACTGCAACCTCCACCTCCCAGGTTCATGTAATTCTCCTGCCTCAGCCTCCCAAGTAACTGGGATTACAGGTGCATACCACCATACCTGGCTAATTTTTTTGTATTTTTAAGTAGAGATGGGGTTTCACTATGTTGGCCAGATTGGTCTCGAACTCCTGACCTTGTGATACGCCCGTCTCAGCTTCCCAAAGTGCTGGGATTACAGACATGAGCCATTGTGCCTGGCTGTTCTGTTTTTTTTTTTGTAGAGATGGGGTTTCGCCATGTCGCCCGGGCTGTCCAAGAACTCCTGGGCTCAAGTGATCCCCACCTTGGCCTCCCAAAGTGCTGGTATTACAAGTGTGAGCCACTGTGCCTGGCCTTTGTTTTATGAGACAGGGTCTCACTTTGTCACCAAGGATGAAGTGCAGTGGCACGGTCACAGCTCAATGAAGCCTTGACCTCCTGGGCTCAAGCAATCCTCCCACTTCAGCCCCCTGAGTAGCTGGGACTATAGGTATGAACCACCACATTTGGCAATTTATTGTCTTTTTTGTAGAGACAGGGTCTCCCTATGTTGCCCAGGTTGGTCTCGAACTCATGGGCTCAAGCAATTTTCCCACCTCAACCTCCCAAAGTAGTGGGATCACAGTTTTCCTCTTTTTCTTTTTCTTTTTTTCTTTTCTTTTTTTTTTTTTTTGAGACGGAGTTTCACTCATGTTACCCAGGCTGGAGTGCAATGGCGCGATCTCGGCTCACCGCAACCTCCGCCTCCTGGGTTCAGGCAATTCTCCTGCCTCAGCCTCCTGAGTAGCTGGGATTACAGGCATGCACTACCACGCCCAGCTAATGTTTTTGTATTTTTAGCAGAGACGAGGTTTCACCATGTTGACCAGGATGGTCTCGATCTCTTGACCTCGTGATCCACCTGCCTCGGCCTCCCAAAGTGCTGGGATTACAGGCTTGAGCCACCGCGCCCGGCCTCTTTTTCTTTTTCTTTTTTTTTTTTTTCTGAGATGGAGTTTCACTCAGTCGCCCAGAGTGCAGTGGTGTGATCTCAGTTTACTGCAACCTCTGCCTCCTGGGTTCAAGCAATTCTCCTGCCTCAGCCTCCCGAGTAGCTGTGAATACAGGTGCCTGCCTCCCCTGGCTAATATTTTGTATTTTTAATAGAGATGAGGTTTCACCATCTTGGCCAGGCTGGTCTCAAACTCCTGACTTCGGGTGATCCACCTGCCTTGGCCTCCCTAAGTGCTGGGATTACAGGTGTGAACCACCGCGCCCAGCCAGTTTCCTCTTTTTCTTTTTTGTTTTTGAGACAGAGTTTCGCTCTTGTTGCCCAGGCTGGAGTGCATTGGCGTGATCTCGCCTCACGGCAACCTCCGCCTCCCAGGTTCAAGTGATTCTCCTGCCTCGGCCTCCCACGTACATGGAATTACAGGCATGCACCACCACGCCCAACTAATTTTGTGTTTTCAGTAGAGACAGGGTCTTTCCATGTTGGTCAAGCTGGCCTCGAACTCCCAACCTCAGGTGATTCACCACCTCGGCCTCCCAAAGTGCTGGGATTACAGGCATGAGCCACTGTGCCCAGACAGCAGCTTAGTTTCCTCTTTTTCAAGCAAACAAATGTACACGACTTTTATAATTGGGATAAAAAGGGAAATTGCTAATTTTTATTAATAACATTTTATTTTATTAATAACATTTTTTCTGGCTGGGGATGGTGGCTTACACCTGTGATCTCAGCACTTTGGGAGGCCAAGGTGGAGGATCGCTTGAGGGCAGGAGTTCAAGACCAGAAGTTCAAGGCCCGAGCAATATAATGAGACCTCGTCTCTACAAAACAGTCTTTTTAAATTAGTCAGGTCTGATGCATACCTGTAGTCCTAGCTACTCAGGAGGCTGAGGTGGAAGCATCGCTTAAGCCCAAGAGTTCAAGGTTGCAGTGAGCTATGATCGCTACCCTATACTCCAGCCTGGGCGACAGAGTAAGACCCCACCTTTAAAAAGAGAAATAAGCTGGGCACAGTGGCTCACACCTGTAATCCCAGCACTTTGGGAGGCTGACGTGGGTGAATCACAAGGTCAGGAGTTCAAGACCAGCCTGGCCAACATAATGAAACCCCATCTCTACTAAAAATACAAAAATTAGCTGGGCAAGGTGGTACATGCCTGTAGTCCCAGCTACTCTGGAGACTGAGGCAGGAGAATCACTTGAAGCTGGGAGGTGGAGGTTGCAGTGAGCCGAGATCGCACCACTGCACTCCAGCCTGGGTGACAGGGCAAGACTCTGTCTTGGAAAAAAAAACACACACACACACACACACAAAAATTAGCTGGGTATAGTGGCGCACACCTGTAATCCCAGCTACTTGGGAGACTGAGGCATGAGAATCGTTTGAACTTGGGAGACGGAGGTTGCAGTGGACTGAGATCGCGCCACTGCTCTCCAGCCTGGGCGACAGAGCGAGACTCTGTCTCAAAATAAATAAATAAATAAATAAAGCAAAAAAAATAACAACCAAACCACAAAACAGTGGAGTTTATCTAAAGAGACAGAGACTCTGAAAACTGAGAAAAGGGGCCCTGCTGGGCTCTAGGAGACCCACATCCTGCTCTCAGGGTCACCATCCCCTTTCCAGAGCATACTGAGAGAGCCTAAGCAACGAACAGGTAGCTCTATGCACATGGGACACCCCATGTCCAGGCAGCCTGCTTACATGTGGGGAAACTGAGTCTCAGGGGGCCGAAGGTATTGCCCAGTTTCCAGGGCCCATGCCCCCATGCCCTGTCTCGCTCACCTCCCAATCTCCGAGCAGTGCTTGGCATCCGCAGCCACGGCAGCCCTGGCGTACACGTGGCTGGCAGGTTCGTTGGAGGCGGAGGGCAGCCAGAGACAGAGGCCAATAACAACCAGCACCAGGACCACGGCCAGCAGGCCCAGCACCACGAACTGCTTCTTCATGGCTCCGCTACACCCACAGGGTAAGAAGCAGGGTCAGGCCTAGCCTCAGACACTCCCTGGCCCCTCCCTAACAGGGCACAGTCTAACGTAGGGCCTCAGAAACACAAGCACCGTGTCTCCTTCCCACCTCCCAGAACACATGCAGGCCGCCCGGCCCCCAGACCTTTGCCCAGGCCATGCCTTCTGCCAGGAGCTCCGGGCCTCATCACTGCCCTCTCAAATCCTCCCCACTTATCTCCAGAGCCCATCCTGGTAAGAACAACATCTCCAGCAGGGGCCCTTCCTGGGAGCCCCCAGACCTCCACACCCCTTTCTGCAAGGCCTTGTCTACCTCCTCAGTGCTGAGCTTCGCTGCTTAGTGAGAAGCTCCTGTAGGGACAGTCCTGGCCTGGTTTCTCCTGTGTCCCCCACCTCAGCCCAGAGCCTGGCACCGTCCAGGAGCCCCTGAGAACCCTTCACTCCACCTGGAGAATGGGGTTTAGGTTCCATAGTGCTCACAATGGGAGCACCCCATAGTCGTCCCCTGAAATCAGCAGATTCGCAGCCACAGGGCCAGGACTTACTGTCCAGCAGCAGACGGGGCCCCCGCCTGCCTGGGGAGCTGGCCACGAAAGATGGAAGGATTTGCAGCTGAGGATATCACTGGGGTCTCCCTCACACTCTGCAGGAGCCTGTAGCCACAGAATCTTCTTGAGACTCACTGGTCAGGCAGCCTTCTGATTCTCCTGAAGGTCAAGGGCGGTTACCGGAAGCATGCATAGCCCAGTCTTTTCTGGGGGGCTTGATGTGACCTCCTTCTGCCTCTAGCTGCTTTCTCTGCCTCCAGTGGAAGTCTGGAGCCAAAGAGGCTGTCAGTTAACACACTAGTTTCCAGGAATTCTCCCAGCATGTTTCCCAGGCCCAGCCCAAAGAGGGTTCTGTACAGAGTAGGGCAGAGAGGGGACAGGGCATTCCTGCGCAAGCCCAGGATGTGCACATGGTGAGCACGGCAAAGGGGACCCGGGGGCAGAGCCAGCCTGCCCTGCTCTGAGACGGGACTTGCCACTCACCTGCCGTGGGGCCTCAGGCAAATCACTTAGCGGTCCAGCCTGGCTGACGGGAGCACCTCGCTTGCCTTGCTGCTGGGAGTGCTGTGAATAGGGTAGGTAGCCTATGGGAAGGGCTCGGTGAATGGTGGCTGCGAATATCATCATGGCTGCACTAGGGACACCCCAGGAGGCCTGAGCGGCCAAGTCTCTTGCTGTCTGTTATGTCCCCTGTAGACCCATTCTGGGCTGTGCAGTAAGGAACAGCAGTGACCCTTGTGAAGTCTCATGGCTGTGGTAGTAGGTGACAGGTATGACCTCAACAGGGAAGAGGGATGTGGTGACAGAGGTGGGGGTTCCCTCTCCCACACTCAGTTCCCCACAAAGGGCAGTGTCCGCCAGCAAGCCCCTCCAATGAGCCCCAAGCTGGGTTCCCTCTGTCTGCTCCATCCTGTCCCAGTGCAGCCTGTCTGATCTCAGAGCCAGACACAGTGTCCTAGAGGTGGTCTAGGAATGGAGTTCCTGTGCCCTCCTTACAGAGGGGACATCCAAACACCATCATGGAAGGGCGTTCCCCTCCACAGGCTTGGTGGGCCTGGGGCCAATAGTGTGATAATTTTTTTTTTTTTTTGAGACAGTCTCACTCTTTCGCCCAGGCTGGAGTGCAGTGGCACAACCTCAGCTCAGTGCAACCTCTGCCTCCCGGGTTCAAGCAATTCCCCTGCCTCAGCCTCCTGAGTAGCTGGGACTACAGGCATGCGCCACCATGCCTGGCTAATTTTTGTATTTTTAGTAGAGACGGGGTTTCACCATGTTGGCCAGGATAGTCTCGATCTCCTGACCTTGTGATCTGCCCACCTCAGCCTCCCAAAGTGCTGGGATTACAAGTGTGAGCCACTGCTCCCGGCTGTGTGCTACATTTGACCCCTCCCAGCCCTGGACGCAGACACCAAGAGCAGAGGGGCCTGGCAGTGGCCATGTGGCAGCCCACCACCCACATCCCCCCATAGAGTCCAAAGCAGCCCATTACCCCCACCCTGGCCACCACAGCCTGAATTCAGGCGCCACCTGTTTCTGACCTGAACTCCCTGCCAGCCCCTGCCTGCAGTCCCTCCTTCCAACAGCGCCACCCTTCAGTCTCCCGGAAAGTAGCTAGAGGGCTCTGTCTGTCCTGCTGTGGAACAGGCTCTGCCTCCTCCCTGCCCCATGGGCAGCTCACACCCTTCACCAGGCCTGACAGCCCTCTGGCCACTCAAACACCCTGGGTCCCAGCAGGGAGTCCAGGTCAGGGTTAAGGGCTCCTGATAGAGACAGCCATACCTGGAGGTTCAAGGGGCCTCAGGAGCTGGGCAGGCAATGTGCAGCATCCATTGTGGACACAGAACATTCCCATCACAGGGCCGGGTGTGGTGACTCATGCCTGTAATCCCAGCACTTTGGGAGGCCAAGGTGGGTGGATCACCTGAGGTCAAGAGTTCGAGATTAGCCTGGCCAACATGGCGAAACCCCGTCTCTACTAAAAATACAAAAAATTAGCTGGGCATGGTGGCGCATACCTGTAAATCCCAGCTACTCGGGCGCTGAGGCAGGAGAATCGCTTGAAACCAGGAGGCAGAGGTTGCAGTGAGCTGAGATCACACCACTGCACTCCAGCCTGGGCAGCAAGAATGAAACTCCAGGCGGGCACAGTGGCTAGTGGCTCACGCCTGTAATCTCAGCACTTTGGGAGGCCGAGGCAGGCAGATCACAAGGTCAGGAGTTCAGGCCAGCCTGACCAATATGGTGAAACCCCGTCTTTACTGAAAGTACAAAAAACAATTAGCTGAATGTCGTGGCATACACATGTAGTCCCAGCTACTCAGGAGGCTGAGGCAGGAGAATCGCTTGAACCCAGGAGGCAGAGGTTGCAGTGAGCTGAGATTGCACCACTGCACTCCAGCCTGGGTGA